CATGCGGTGAAAAAGCAGGTGACAAACTGGACCCTGATTGCCAAAAATCCCCTTGGTGTAAAGACTCTCACTGATACAGCTGACCCTACACACCGAGGTAAATCTTATTTTAAATATTTCTTAAATTTTGCATCATGACCACAACATTTAATTGTGAATTTAATCATCTGGTTTTTTTTTTCTTGCACAGTATGGTTGAGAGCACCCAGCAAAATAGCCCATGTTGCTTATGCAAGAAAAGTCACTCTTCGGTGGAGTTGGAACGAGGAAAGCTACGCTTTGTTTCCGATGATTTGTCAAGCGAAGCTCAATGGAATCATGTACAATGTTGGTGTCATCAGATTTTATCTTGCATTAAAATTGATAAGCATTCTATTTTATCTTTCCACTGTTTCCACTTGCAATGCCTTTACATGCATTCTCACAAATGTCCACACATTTTTATCTTTCACAAAGAAAACCTTCAACGGAGTGGGACTTTCGTCTGTTGTCCTTATAAACCTGCAGCCCTTTGCTAAATACACAGCTCAAGTACAATGTGGTTCTTATGAGCACTTCTACATATGGGGCGACTGGAGTGAAATTACTAAGTTCTCCACTAAAGAGGACAGTAAGTATTCAGAAGACTAACATATTTGAAAATATAGTGTCATTAAGATATATATCTGATTTTAATTTTTATACATACTTTTGTGAGTGTGCTTTTAAACAACACTTTAATATCCACCTTATTTTTAACATAAGACCGACTGCTGTGTCTTTTAGTTATTTACCTATGGCAGCTAATGAATCGAAAGTCTAGCACATTGATAGAAAATAGCTTACTTCCGTGTTTAAAAATTTGTTGGACATGAAGTTAATAATGTGTAACTTACAATGCACTCACAACTTACATTTTACTGTCAATTTTTTTCTCTGCCATTGTAAATAGTTTCAAACGAAGCCACAGAAATATCTAACACTGTACATTTCTGACCAACATGCAGTTCACATTCTGAATGAATTTGTGTTTTTGAACTAATCAGATGAGTAAGAATGATTCAGCGACTGTGTAATTTGATTCGCACTAATAATCCCTCTTCAGTTCCAGAAGCAGTAGATGTTTGGATTCATTATTCTGAACAAACTACATCTGTCTTGTGGAAGGTAAGAGCAGTTGGATTTGGCACTGCTATCTTTAGCTTTTCCCTGCACTTTTTGTGGCTGCAGTCAAACAAATCAAAATGACCCTTTTTAATGTTTTAAAGCCTCTAACTGAACAACAAAGCCATGGGATAATTACAGGATATGAAATTACCATTGGAAAAATGAACAAAGAACTAAAAACACAGCTGTGCTACAACATCACCTCTGGGAATGAAAAAAGTGATGGAATCATCACAGTCTCTGCAAAAAACTCTGCTGGTCATTCTCCTCCTTCTACCATCATCGTCCCGACTTATCCTGGTGAGATTCAAAATGCTGTTTTTAATTGGTTGAAAAGGTTGTGTTTAAATTAATGAAGTTTTTATAATTCTTTTCACAGACAATGAAGTCGATATAAGCCATATCAGTAGCAGTAATGGTGACTTTAAAATGTCTTGGGAAGAATACCCCTATTCTACTTGTGGCTATGTTGTTGAATGGTTTCCAACATACAAAAAGACGCAATGTGCTGTAGCATGGGAGAAGATCCCAAAAGGTGACAGTGGTGCCTGTGACACCTGGAATCAATCTGGTCAGTTGGGAGTGTGAAGATGAATCATTTGACTCACTTTGACTCATCTGTTTTTGTTCTGATACTGAATTTGTGCATGTGTGTAATGGTTCATCAGTGGTTCAGTGAGCTGTGGTTATGTTCAGAAAGGGAGGATAACAGCTATATTGTTCTATTTCTCACAGGTGTTTTTGAGGCAGGAGTGAGATACACTGTCTCTGTCTATGCCTGCACAGATGATTCACCAAAGCTTCTCAAGAGGAGTGAAGGTTATGCTATAGAGAAACGTAAGCAGACAAGATTCAATATTTAAAGAATAGCTAACCCAAAAATGAAAACCTCACCTTGTCTTACTTATTTTCCATTCTGCTATTTGTGTTCTCAGAACCTGGGAAAGTTGAGAAACTGGAAGGTGAAAATAAAGGAAGAAATGTTGAGCTTTCCTGGGCCGAAGTTCCCTTAGAACAGCAAAATGGCTTCATACGAGGCTACAAGGTCATAACATTGCTTTCTGGTTCTGAAACGATTATTAACATGGCTGTGACAAAGGGTAAGTTCATTCTCTAATTGACGTCCATGTTTGTTTGTTTTTTTGTTTTTAAAGATTACATTATAAATGGACTTACTTTGTTTTAATTTTAGAGCCTAAAGTTAATTTGAAATTAGATCCAGGCTCCTATACCTTCCGCGTTAGTGCCTTTACATCTGGAGGGGAAGGTGACTATGCTACATTCAAAATGAACATAGAAAAAAGCAGTATGTATTAAAATGGTGTTAATTAAGTATTTTAATAACATTAAATGTAATTCATTATAATTGAAACCGTTAATGATTGAACTATTTTATTATATTTAATAAGCAAATATACAGTAAATAGCATTTATGAAATGTGATAAAATTGTGTGCAATTTGACAAACTCTTCATAGTTGACCAGATGATTGCAGCCACTATTGTGGGTTGCAGTGCAGCAACTCTCGTCTTCACTATCATCACAGTCCTTTGCTACAGGAAACGGAAATGGTAAGGACAATTTTCCAGTATTATGTCATATGTTTTTTAAATCCCAATATTTTCTATAAATTTTCTATTTTCAGCTGCAATTAAAATGTCACTCTTGAAAATCCTTCAGGTTAAAGAAACGGTTGTATCCAAATATTCCTAAACCAAAATTTGCAGGGAAATGGATCACAAAGGTGAGTCATCAGCCTCCTTATAATTAATAACTTTCCTAACAGATGTTTTTTTTCGTAATTATTATAATCTGCATGTATGAGGGTCACAAGCCTATCCATACTATGTTAAATCCTAACAGTAAAATGCAACAAAGCATATACTTGATCATAGTAATCATATCAATTTTAAAACAGAAGAGAAAACATTAACCAAATCTTTTTGTAGTTGACGTCAAAGGATGTGTGTATCTGTCACTTGATAAAATGATCAAATTAGGCAGATTCCAATATGGAAAAGTTGCATGACATACCCATATGCTCAAAAACTATGCAAAATCAAATAAGTTATGACCCAGACCACATTAATTATGGTTCAGTTGCAACACAAACACTTGTTTTGTGTGGTAAATCATTGGCTTAATAAATAAGCTAAAGAATGTTTTGCTACCATGTTGGTTTGTTGTTTCCAGGGCATTTATTGTACCCAGATGACCGAGGGGTACATGAAGTGTGAGATCCAAGAGGTCCACAGTTTAGAGCATCCTGCGATCTCAGAAAGTCTACATGGCCTTGACCTCATCAGCTCGAACTCCAAAGTGGTTCCTGCACAACATTTCTACCAGAACATTTCTGAATCTCCAGCTGATGTCTCATACTGTCCTGTTGAGAAGCTTACCTCAATTATTGAAAACCCTTCTTATAATGTGACCATACCAGAACCAGTTGGTGTTGCTCAGATATCCGATCTTACACTGGAAATGCAGGATGCTTACCTCCCAGCCCCTAACTTTGTTCAAAATAATTTTGTTGTCAAAGACTCAGACGGCTACAAGCCCCAGTCAGCATCTCCTACAAACGCATAGCTCCAGTAGATAGACCTCAGTGTCGTGTCTTGCCATGCACACCATGTATATGCAAATTGTGCCAATGTAAATGCCAGTGAATTCATGTTATTTATAAAGTACTGTACTGTTTTCTCAGCACTATCTCTTGTAAAATGAGTAGTGAAATGCATTTTTTTAAACACTGTGATGAAAAAAAAGCTGTGACCACCTTTAGAACTGCCTCTGTATATTTGCATTGAATTTGGCTATTTATTTACATTTATGGTAACACTTTAGATTAGGGAACAAATATTCACTATTAACTACGAGTTTTTCCTCAATAAACTCCTAATTTGCTGCTTACGTATTAATAGTTAGTAAGGTACTTGTTAAATTTAGGTATGGGGTCGGGTTAAGGGATCTAGAATATGGTCATGCAGAATAAGGCATTAATATGTGCCTAATAAGTAGTAGGCCTACTAATAAACAGCCAACATGCTAGTAATATATACATGCTAATAAACTACTAGTTAATAGTGAGAATTGGTCCTTAAAATAAAGTGTTACCACATTTGTTTATTTAACACATACTCTCAACATCTGTGACCCGGGTGAATTCAACCCATGACCTTGATGTTGCTAGCATTATGCTCCAATAGCAATAGTTCCCTCTTGTGGCCTTAAAGACTATGATGAAATATAAAGGCTAAGGCCATGATGAACAGTTATAAAGAAAAAATTTCAAACGTGTACATATTCTAGATGTTTTGATCGCTTTCTTATTAATAGACGGGAGATTGTACCTAAATACAATTCAGTTTGTGCTTAAAGACATTAAAGTGTGGTTTACATGTATTAACATGTATGGATTTTACATTTTCCAGTAAACAAAAGTAGTTTAAGTTTATGCAAAAACGTAGTTTTTTTTATCATTAATATAAAAACCAAAAATAATCTATGCCTATAATATAACAAAAGTCAGATGAAACATTCTTGACAATCAAAGCATTACTCCCAAGACTGAAGAAATTACAAACTAAATGATGTATTGTTTCATAACAAAGTTTCACAAAAAAGGGTAGTATGTGTCAACGTTATATTTAAATTTAAAAAAATGCTTGACATGGTAAAATAAATACATTGCTTAAGAAAAATTAAACAGATGCCCCTAAAACACTTTTATGGGCGTGAAATCTTGTCTAAGGGCTTTGCAACAATGAAAAGCTTTCATTTTGATTGACAGGCAGAGCAGCCAATAGAATTCCAACATCTACACGAGTTGACCAATGTAAACAGTTGGGGGCGGAAGTTTTAAATTCCCGGTCATTGAGCCGCTGTTTTCAGTTGTTCGAGCTCAGTAACGACCAGTTTACTGAACATGCTTTCGATAAATTAGCAGAGAGGAGATTTTAATTTGTTTTCTATTTTTGATACTTATTCCATCGACGTTTTAAATGTAGAGTCTTAATCGAACAGCTCGTGCCTGCCTAACACTTTTCCACCAATAACGGGTATGTTGCTAGCGTGCTAGTTGTGTATGGTCTGAGATTCATCTATCGTAACAGTAACTTACTCACATTTATCATCATCTGTAATCTCATCTTCCTCTGTAGCCCTCAAAACCATGACGTAAGATGTCTTTATTATTCATGCGATTGATTTTATAGTGTTATTGTGTGACTATCCCTGCGTTGGCAGTCTTCTGGCAAATCTTCAGGGTTAGCAAGTCCTTCATCAGTTTTTAGCTGACATGCTGAGATGTTTAGTAGTTTGCAACTTATGTTGCATACTGATTCATGAATAAATGAGGTTACAGACTCTATTTATCTATGATACAAAGAAATTCAGTCAAGTGTGAAGAAATGAGTCTCATTCATTGAAATGGTTCATGACCCAAATCCTGCCTGTGTCATGGCTGTGAAGTTGACATTTGTAATGGACAGCTCAGTGTGCGTTTGACATGAACAGCACTAAAATAATCACTGCAAGCCTTCATAGTGAAAACTGTCTGGTTGAAATGACTGTTTTGATCTGATAACACAGTTTGATTATTCTCAATATATAAGCTTTGTTTTAATGCAAAGTGTCTGTATATCTATCTACAGTATTTGTCTTTATATCTATGTGTAACATGGCTGTAATCAAGAGGTGCTAATAACAGCATGAACTGCATTGACTCTGTTGAACCCTGTGCAATGATTCCTTCAGGCTGTCAGTGGCAAGCAATGGAGGTTGGCACAGTTGTGCAGGAAGAAATTAAATTTCGAGGGGCTGAATATGCTGTCAAGGTCGAGATGGTAGAGCGGCTACTAATCATAGAGATTTCAGATGTTGTTACAGCAGCCCAGTGGAGAGGAGAGTTTGATCCTGCCTGTGAGTTGAGCTTTTAAAACTGATATATAGTTTTTGCTTACATTAAACGTTGTTTTATGTCATTACAACTTTTATAAATTTTTTTATAATTAGATATTGAGGACCTGACCCGGAAAACTGGGAATTTTAAACAGTTTCCAGTATTCTGCAGCATGCTTGAGTCTGCTGTCAACAAGGTGGGTCCAAAGAATAAAAGCCATAAAAATCCTATTTAATATGGGGTCTTTTAACTTTCTTAATTTTTTTAAACAAAGAAAAGCTTCTCTTTTGTTGACAACAGTTGGTTTATAAGCGCTTCTCAAGTTCTCATTCCAAGTTTGGGAAGAGGGTTGTTTGTGTTTCCAAATGTCCATTATGAGGGCCTGTTTACACCTGGTCACTTCATGTGTTTTAACTAATCGTATAGCTATGTGATTTGTTAAAACAATGGATTTAAATCCAATATTCAATCCCCATGCTTTATCAGGGTTTCTACCGACATGAACAAGTTAAATTTAAGACTTTAAGACCTTTTTAATACCACCTTATATGTTTTTCAACTTACTTCTCAACTAAACTACCAGTAAGTGGCGGCAAGTCATTCATTCAACTGATTGAGTGTGCTATCATGCTGTTATCTTAAGGACTTTCATGGACAGCTGACTTCTAAAGTTTTTCATATTCTTCATATTCGTGGTGGTCAGATAGAAATGAATCTTTTCCAATAAGTTTAAATTGATTTTTAACTTTTATGGGCATTTTACCTTTATAAAGCCATTTTTTCTATAAGTGTGCATTATCTTTTGAGTAATGCAAATTAACAGAGTTCAAGCAACAGATATACACTGCATATTTGTTTTATTTATGTTTATTATATTTATATTTATTTCCTTTGATTTTAAGTCAATTTTGCTGTTTCAGTTTTATTTTGATTAATTTGCACTTGATTTATTTACAAAAGAAAAATGGTGTGATTAACCAGTCTTTTATGTTAATAATAACATTTTTTAAAAATATTATTTATGTTTTTAATTATCTTTTGCAGTCCAGTGAATCAGTGACCCTTGACCTCTTGACCTATTCTGACCTCGAGCTTCTGCGGAACAGAAAGGCAGGTGTAGTTGGCCGACCTCGTGCTCAGCCACAGTCTCCTGCCCTCAGTGCTAAACGATACCTCATCCTCATCTACACTGTGGAGTTTGACAGGTCTATGTAGTTTTGATCACTCTGTCTGTTTTAACCAGCTCTTAAATGGGTCAGTTTTTAAAGATTTTTATTTTTGTAGGATACACTATCCTCTTCCACTTCCATATCTGGGCAAACCTGATCCTGCAGAGCTTCAAAGAGAGATCAGAGCTCTGAGGGCCGAGCTGAAAACACTGGGACTGAGAGGAGACCACAAAGTATCAGACCAGGAAACACACAAGCTCCGTGCAGAGTCAGTTTTTCGTAATGAAATATGTACTTAATGTTGATATCATTTTCAATGCTTTCAAAGAAAGAAAAAAAAAAACACCTTTTGCACACCTGGTTAGTTGCCGGCAGGTGCACAGGACAGTCGGCACAATAGAAGAAAGAAAAATCCTATACATTGTTGTACCTTATAAATGTTCTTAAAGGGATAGTTCACCCAAAAATGAAAATTCTGTCATTAATCACTCACCTTCATGTCATTCCGAACACGTAAGACCTCCGTTCATCTTCGGAACACAAATTAAGATATTTTTGATGAAATCCGAGAGCTCTCTGACCCTCCATAGACCACAAGGGTACTACCACGATCAAGGCACAGAAACGCAGTAAGGACATCGGTAAAATAGTCCCAAGTTCAACCATAATTTTATGATGCTACGAGAATACTTTTTGTGCGCAAAGAAAACAAAAATAAAGACTTAATTCAACAAATCGCCGCCTCCGTGTCACCCCGGCTCCATTTTGGAGAGTACGTAAACAATGTATACTCATACTTTGATCTGAACGTAAACAACGAATGCCCGTGGTGCTGCTGACACAGAACATTCATGTGCTGTGCCTTGTTTACGTTCAGATTAAAGCACGCACATGCATTGTGATACTCTCCAAAATGGCGCCAGGGTGACATCGAATTGTTGAATAAAGTCGTTCTTTTTGTTTTCTTTGCGCACAGAAAGTATTCTCGTAGCTTCGTAAAATTACGGTTGAACCACTGATGTCACATGGATTATTTTACCGATGTCCTTACTGCGTTTCTGTACCTTGATCGTGGTAGTACCCTTGCTGTCTATGGGAGGGTCAGAAAGCGCTCAGATTTCATCAAAAATATCTTCATTTTTGTTCCGAAGATGAACGAAGGTCTTACGAGTTTGGAACGACATGAGGGTGAGTAATTAATGACAGAATTTTCATTTTTGGTCGAACTATCCTTTTAATAAAGTAATAAAATGTTTTACCCACAATGAGTAAAAAGTGAATGTGGTTTACAAATCATTTTCCTTCTGTTTTATCAGGTTGGCTTTGGTGAGAGATGAAAAGGAAGCCTTGGCCAAGGCTCTGGATCGTCTACAGATGGTAGGGGCTGGTTCTACTCCTGGGGCTCGTGGGCTCAGAGAGGCAGTGCGCAGCCTGGAGGAACAGCTGCTGAAGGAAAGGGCAAAAAGCCAGCGCTCTGCAAGCAAGAGGAGCCAAGAACAGCGCCTCCTTCTGGAACAGGTGCGTCTAAGCAGATTAGTGTTGTATGGTCATGAGATTGACAAGCTGATGATGTAAAACGCTTAAACATAGTTATGCGCCCACTTAACTGTTCAAATTCACTCTTGTTGGTAGTTGGAGGAACTCCGAGCATCAGAGCGGGCTCTACGGATACGTGTTAAAAGTCTGACCACTGAGCTGGCCTTGTTAAGACGCGGGTGAGCTTTAATTAATTGCCATCTTTGTCTTTTATTGCATATGTTTTAATTGTTTGAGCACATGTTAATCATCTCATTCTTCCTATTTTGACAGTCGAGCGATGCCAGTCATGTCTGGCCGAAGTGGTCTCAGGGGTGATGGAGAGGTTCATCGGTCTTTATCCAGAGAGCGCAGTTTGACCCGTGTGGGGGTAAGAGCGCGCTCGGGGTCGAGGGAGAGGATGGAGGACAGGACTCGGAGGTCAGAGGAGAGAATTAGGAGGGCAGACTCTTCAGGGTCTCGGAATTGCATCACAAGACCCTCACCATCTCCAACAGGTGAAATCTGTGAAGACAATATCTTTATGATCAAAGTCAAGAAACAAAGGTAGAGGCCCTGTTCTTAGTCTTTTGATTCGAAGTCTTGTGTTCTCATGACAGGGTCACGGGTGCCTCGGTTTGACCCTACGGCTTTCATTCAAGACCGACAACGACGCCAAAAAGAGACCGAGATGAAGAAGTAAGACACTTTCACCTTTTGAGTTTGAAGTTTTTATCTTTTCTGTTGCTCTGCTGTTTTGTGTTTTATTTGTTGTCTCTTTTTCTACAAGCATTGCCCTGTCTGTGAGCAGGAATGCGGTTTACTTTGAAAGGTGTGAACTATATGCTCTTTTTGTCCCTTGCATGAATTCATTTCTCAAACCGTTGATCCCACACCAGTGCAAGAAAAATATTCTATGACTTCTGGGATCAGGCTGATAAGAGAATGAGAGTCTTGTGTCCGTTTGACTAGTTTTAATCTGGTAGAATTTATTTGTAGGCAGCTGGACCCATTTCCTGCTTTCACAGATATACATGAGGTCTTCTTTTGTTCCCAACAGTCAGAGGAAGATTAGAAGGGACATGCTGGCTTCACCGTCTCTGATGGAAAGAGGGCGTTCACGCTCCAGGGAGCCCGTTCCTCAGCTGATGAGAGCAGGAAGTGCTGGCAGGAGGAGGAGTGTGTCTGTGGAGAGCAGGAGGAGTCGGTGCTCTTCAGAAGGATCAGTAGCCGAGTTTGAAGAGCTTGCTAAGCCTCTAAATAGCAGGCAAGTCAATAAACAAAACAGGTTGCTTATCCAAGTACTGCTGGCCAGGTTAAATGTGATGTCAGCTGACTGATTATTTATTTCAGGACACTTGGTTCATCAGATCAAACTTGCCAAATAACAAGGTGTAGATGAGCCTATACTTTTACAGCATTTTTTGCAGTCTGCCTATAATATTATATTAGGATTTCTTGCACCCAAAAAGTGTAATTTTCATGACCATTTTCTACCCTCTACATGAAACATAATTAAATCTGGCCTGTTCGCTTTTATTCCGCAAGGATGCAATAAATTGACCAAAAGTGACCGAAAAAACTTTGTTACAATAACATAATACTGTATTTCAAATAAATGCTATTTTCTACTCAAAGAATCCTTAAAAAAATATACTGTGCGTTCCACAAACATTTTAAGCAGCACAAATGTTGGCAACATTGACAGAGTTTTTGAGCACTAAATCAGCATATTAGAATGATCATGTGACACTGAAAATTCAGCATTGTATCACAAGAATACATGTTTTTACTTGTATATGTTTTAAAATAGTTGCTTTAAATTTTAATACTTTTTCAAAGTATTACTGTTTTACTGGTTTTGATCAAATAAACATTGCTTTGGTGAGCGTAAGCAACTTTCAATAACAAAAAAAATCATGTTCTGTTGATTTAGAAAATTAGCTAATTAACTTTTTAACTCAGCAAATTAGACTCTGATATTATTGTTTTTGATATTTATTTGTTTATATTTTGCAGAGGAAGGAAACTGGCATATAATGGTCCAGCTGTGGTGAGTAACAATGTAAAACATTTGGTGGTTTAGTTCTTGTGAATATTAGGTCTCTGATAATTCTAATTGCTTTTTTCCATCTAGTCCAGAGGAAGACACATAAACAAAAAACCAATGTGTAGCACCCCGGCCCAAAGGATGAGAGCGGCAGGTACCACATAATTTCCTTTTGAATCATTTATTAGTATTATTATTTATGTATATGCGTCTGTAACCAATGGCATATACATGTAAGCCAAGTGTATTTTTCCTTCTCAGACACATCTATTGACACGGGTGCTGACCTGTCAGAGATTGACGCTCGACTCCAGGCCCTGCAGGACTACATGCGGGACCTTGACACGGGACACTAATCTCGATGGATTTAGATGTCGATCAAGGCTTTTTGCACAAAGACTGAGACTGAAAACTTGTACAATCATTTCTTTCAAACACTGTGTACAGACGTGTCTGTATCATAGTCATTCATACAAATGAGACTCGAACGGCGTTTATTTTCTTTATCCCTAATGTAACTTTTGGGCTTGACTCAAAATGCAGTTATGGTGGCTTTGTGAAGGGGATTCTTGAGACTGTTGCCATATAAGACTTGAAGTAAACCAGAAGTGTCCAAAAGTATGACCTCAGGATATACCGTTTTTAACACATTCCTCTGTACATTTTATGAATTAGTGTTTGTTTGACCATTGTTATTGTTTTATATATATATTAGTCTGTGTTTTATGTCCGTTTTAGATGCTCTCATATTTAGTTTTTGTGAGATACTGAAAAACAAAGCTTTTTTTATATAAAAGGATTTTGCAGTTCATGTCTATTCTTTACAGACACTTTGGAATTATATCACTGAGCATATTGGAATGTGATATGCTTTTTATTTATACAGGTTATTGTTCCTATAACAACTGATAAAGGATGGCATTAGCAATAGCAACACTATGGTTATAGATTTGATTCCAAGGTAGTGATAAAGTGGATGTCTTTATAAGTTGCCTAGTAAGCATCTGCCAAATGCATAAATGTACATGCTGCAGAGATCATGTCTTTTGGCATGTAACATTGCTTCATTTGTGGCCATTTAATAATTTTTGCCATTTCTCACAAAGTCTCTCTCTTCTTTTTAATGTGACCCCACCAAAATCTTGTATGTAGAATATCAAATGCATTAAATTAGTCTTTAATTGTGGTAATGAGGCTAGAATTTTCAAACCTTTCTAGATATATAAAATGACACGATCATCTATAGATTATAGAATTTTTAGGGACATTGTGCATCAGTTTGACTAAAATGAAATGTTCGCTCAGGAATCAAACTTTGCTTTAATATTACAGTATGTTGAGATTTCAATTAAATGATGGCTTCTGTTTCAACCTGCTCTTCACACGATTGTTGTATGACTCCAGAACATCGTGTGGGCAGCTTTAATTAATTTTCCTTTTTTACGACTTCACATCCTCAAACATCTCAACATTTATTTTTGAGTGAGCTGTGCCTTTAAGTACTTTATCCAAATGCAACATGTTAAAGGCCTATTAAGAACAGCACATTATTTCATCCTGTACTCAGGTTTTTTAAACTGCGTTGTCAACCACAGGTTAGGTGGCGCTGTAAATCTGATTTAATGTGTTTTGACCTGTTCATTTTTGGCTCTGTAGCTTTAAATAAAAGTGGGCGGGGCAAATATTTAAATTTTTGAGGTGATTATTGTTTATTTTCAGGGGCTAAAAGAATGTGATCACTGCACCTTAGCGTTGAGAGTGGCCCAATATTGCTGTTATTCTGCAGCAGCGCGCGACGCGTCACGCAAGGTGCGGCAGTGCCCAGCGCGAGCCGGTTATGCGTTGGGTTTGGCCCTAATCTGGATAACCCCATCAACAACCTCAATGATCTTGTAGATATGAAGCAGCGTGATGACTAAAACGCCCGATACCCCGGTACCCTGCGCGGGTATGGGTGATATCCACCACAGCCATCCTGAGGAGCCGGTGGAGCATCTCTCCAGACTCGCTCGCGTTGCTGTTCCTGAGCTGGTTGTTACCTGCGAGCCGTGTGCCACTGAGTGTGGACCCTGCTCGGGCTCTCCTCACCCCGACGAGGAGTCCATCTGCTCGGACAGCGGGCTCAGCGGCTCTCCCGCCTTGTCCCTGGCGCTGAGAAAACTGTCCAACTCGTCCTCAACCGGCCTCTCGCCAGCGTCTTCTTTTGAGGAATGCGAAGAGGATTTAATGGGTTACGGCGAATATAATCAGTCTTCAGGTGAACCGCTCACGGTGAGAATCAAAACTAAGACAATCCATTTTAACTTGTATTTATTTTATGCTACTAGCCGTTTTTTTATTTCTAGTAAGCAATCCAGTAGGAACCAGACTAGACCCATTTTCAGTTTACATTAGATATTCACTATATCTATTAGTCACTAGGCAGAGGTGTGAGTAATGTTCCTAGTACTTTACTACTATAGCCTACTTAAGTATAATTTTGAGAAATTTGTACTTTACTAGAGTTGATCAATTGAATGCTTGCACTTTCAAGCATTAACAGTCTATTAAAAAAGCTAAGAAAAGTGTTTACTTTTATTTTTAAATGCCTAAGTAGAGTTAAATGTGGATACATTTGACTTTCATTCAAGTATTTTTGGCTAGGTACTTAGACTTTTAAGTGAGTAAAATGTTTGTCATAGTATCTATACTTGAACTTAAATATAATTTCTCAGTATTTTTACACCCTTGAAAACTAATGTCATTTTTACAACTAATAGGTGCTGTATTCAAATACTTGTTTTTATTTCAGCTTTACTAGTACATATTTATTAGATACTTCTACCTATTTACATGAGACTAGTAAATTAGATACTGTTTTTGTTTTAATTGTCATATACAATGACTAGCCATATTGGCTACTTTATAGTTAAATCAGACTATTAGTACAATTACTAGTAACATGCTGCTAAGTAGTCAATAGTGTCTAATTAATAGTTACTAATGTCTGTTCAGTTAGTAGCCCTACTGGGGAACCTGTGAATAATACTAACTATACTGTACCTTGCTGCTATCATGATACAACTCCAAAACATGGTTTTGTTAACTAACAATAAACAATACATTTGTTACAGTATTTATTAATCTTTGTTAAGGTTAGGTAATAAAAATACAACTGTTCATTGTTAGTTCTTGTGACCTCAGGTCTATTAAATAATATTAACAGATATAAATAACAAACAGATACAATTAAAAGTGGAAACAAACATTAACTAAGATTAATAAATGCTTTAGAAGTATTTTTCTTTGTTAGTTCTTGTTAATTGATGTATTTAACCAATGTTAACAAATAGAACCTTGTTGTAAAATGTTAATGAAACATTAAGTGATATTTAAGTGGAAACTATAGGTACCTTGGAAACTTTTTGATTGCAGGTGCATTGAACACAAGTGTGCACACAGGTGCATGCTGCAGATCGAAATAGGCCTATGCAGTTATTGAGTAATCCTCATTATAACTGATTAACATTATGGGCGTCAGGTCATAAGATCATTGTTTGTAAATGGAGGGAAAAATTCCATAGGTTTTCCTAAACTACTTTTCTTCCTCTCGTGTTCTGATGGTACTGGAGTCAGAGATTTGTATAGAAGTGCATCTAAATAATACAAATGTCTCTTAAGACGGTGTTCAAGTGAAGGCAGAGCAACCAACATCATTGTGATAACAGTGAGTCACATGTAAACTCAATGACATGTTATAAAATCAACAATTAATATTCATCATTGCAACTATAAAGGTGCTTGAATATAATCTGCATTGTGCTGTTGTAGGAGTTAAATAGTCTCCAGTCTTTTTGATGGTAATATTGAATGGGATTTGATTTTATGGATCATTAAGGTAAAATCACAATAAAGTGAGTAAATAGTCCATTGAAACTGAACTTATAATGTCAGCAGATGGATGCACCTCCAGCGCTGTATGGTGGGCCTCTCCTGCTTTGTTCTGGAGAATGTCATTCTTTTCTGACTGGTTCACTACCCGTGAGTGAGTGAGTGTTTGAACTTTGAGAGCAGAGAGAACTGTACAGGTTTGGAGGTTAATTGGCTTCATACTGAGAGCTTACGCTTGGAGGATCTTTACTCTTGATAGACTCTGATTATCTCATTGTTACTGTATGTTGTTATACCGCATACAGTCATGTGTTACAGACAGTGGCATAGGTTATTGTGTACAGTAGGATGGAAAGGTTTATGATACGTCAGCTGGAGGGATCTTGTTGACGTTTTTTTGCCAACATCAAAATGCTGAAAATGTGATGACAGTTATGAATTATTAATTCATGAAAAAATGTATGCTTGCCTCAAAAAATAAAAACCTTTGAAGATAAAAAAAATATGTACACTCTCATCTCATGTACGTGAGTGGCCACACTGGCTCCTTCATTATCTGGCAGCAAAACAAGTGCCGTCTGTAAATGTTTCACGAACGTCCTTCTAAGATTAGCTATTTCTTAATCACAGCCACTTGGTATTGCTTGATGACTTTGTTTAGTCCGAGATTGTCGTCAATGATTTGCCACATGGGGAAAAACTCGACCTATGGTTAATAGAGGAGAGGGAGTTGCCCGTTAGAGTCTGAGGTTGACTGAATGCACTCGGTGCCCCAGTGCGGCTCACTGTATAGGAAAATGAGAACAAAAGAGAAGACAAGAAAAGTCTCTAGCAACAAACAACCCTGTACAGAACCATTGTGTACCATGTGGCTGCTCTAGTCGTAGGGTATTAACTGACATGTGAGTCTCATTCATCTGTTTGTTTCTTTCATATCTTCTCTTCAAAGACTGATCAGTGGAAGAAGTCGAAGAATATGGTGAACTGGTCTCCACTTCCAGTGACGGTGAAAAAGCGCTCACCCTGGGTGCAGGTGGTCGGCCATGCAGGTTTGCTTGTTCATCTTTATGTCTTTGATGATACTTGGTCTTTTGTGATTTTTAATGTCTGAAAGCTCACATTTTCACATTTAAGCCTTGAAATTATTATTGTTGTATGGTTATTGTGAAACGTTTTTGTTGCTGTTTTTGGTGATTGACTTTTTTTCTGAGAAAAGGGACCCTTTTTTTCCTTTCTCAGCGTGTTTTTGTTTGGTCCTCTAGGAAACTTTAAGACGGGGAGTGATGGAAGGCTGCTGAAGAGGTACTGCGAGTGCGAGCAGCAGTGTTTTCTGCAGCTCATGAGCGACTCGCTGCGGCCCTTCGTTCCTGGATACTATGGTGTGACTCAGCGTGACGAGCAGGATTACAATCTCATGGATGACCTCCTCGCTGACTTCGACTCTCCCTGCATCATGGACTGCAAAATGGGGAGCCGGTGAGGATGTTGTGATTTGTGAATTCAGCAATTCAGTGCTTTTTTAACTGGTACAAATTGCAGCTTATTTTAGCCAAGAGCCTCTAGTCAAACAGGAAGAGGCAATCTGACCAGCATGCAAAGCAACCAACCACAGTCTATTTTTGTTTTAAATGCGGTTTATGGGCAGGTGATGCCAAAATAATGCACTGGCACGCTAAAAATATGTTTTAGTCATGGCACAGTTGTCTTTACAAATGACTACATGAAAACACCATTAGTAAATTATTTTTTTTGACAGAAATTGAATTTAAAGGAATAGTTCACCTTCAGTTGCTGGTCCCCATTGACTTGCATATATACACTATAGTGTTTTCCCCCCCATACTATGGAAGTCAAGGGGGATGGACCAGCAACTGAAGGTGAACTATTCCTTTAAATTCAATTTCTGTCAAAAAAAATAATTTACTAATGGTGTTGTCATGTAGTCAAAAATATGTTTTAGTCATGGCACAGTTGTCTTTACAAATGACTACATGAAAACACCATTAGTAAATTATTTTTTTTGACAGAAATTGAATTTAAAGGAATAGTTCACCTTCAGTTGCTGGTCCCCATTGACTTGCATTTTTTCTCATACTATAGAAGTCAGTGGGGACCAGCAACTAAAGGTGAACTATCCCTTTAACATTTTCATTTAGCTGAAAACTGGACAATTTAGGTAAAATTGTGTAATTGAACTATGCTGTTCAGGTTGTTCTGATAATTTCAACCCGTCATGATACATTTCTCAGGCAAATTTTCCATGTTGCTACTCTAGCATCATTTTGGTCATAGTGCCTCCACACTGCTCATATATTTACCTTATCATGTTCTGTGCACAGAATAAACACTGACATGGTCTAAACACATAATGGAAGAAGTGTTAATAACATATAACTATTTTGGTCGATGATTTTGGCCCTTTTTCAGCTCAGTGTTTTTAATAGGCAAAAATTATGGCGCATCTCTAGAAATTAAGAACATTTTTGTGTTTTAATCCAAAATATGAATAATTAATAACAAGGATTCATTTAAAAATGGAAAACAAAGTGGGATTTAAAATGTTGCTTATGAGTATCTAATTATAAAACTCTGAATATCTTTCAAAGATATGATGCCACAAACCTGACAAAATCTGCCAATTCCAACAACTTACTCTTCCTCATAAGTTATCAGCTGATAATTATAGATTTGGTTAACTTATCAGTATCTGTAGATATTGTAATGTATATTTAATTGTTCATGCACATGTCCTTTTTCTTAAACATGTATATTACCTTTGCCAACATCTAACACTCACTTTAAAATCTTAAAATCAACATCTTTTTTTAATCAAACAAAATAGTATTGAATTTTAAGATTAGCCATTTATTGTTTATCAGCCTCATGAAAATAATTAGCAGCATATCAGTATCCGACAGAATTTAAAAATCAGTGCATCTCTGCTCACAAGCACTTATTATCATCATCAACTTAACACAGTTTCCAGCCAAACCGATAAAAACTTGTGCTGCTGGACTTCCGGAAATTGTGTTGCAGTCAGGCAATCACACTGGAGCTTGTAAATTTCATCAGTGCTGTCATTATATGGACTCTCTGTGGGCTTTCTGTGGGTGTGGCATCTGTGGCTAAAACTATAATACAGTAGACGGCAGTGTCCAAACAATAGTGGAGGAAATATGATCACTAATGCCAACAGCTCTGTTCATGCCATAATGGACCAGTCCTGTTATGCCAGTTCGATAATGTTTTCATACTAAATAATTATTCCTGTGGTAATGTTCACCTGTATACAAACACGCTTTTAGGACTTACCTTGAGGAAGAGTTGAGGAAGGCCTGCGAGAGTCCTCAGCCACGCAAAGACATGTATGAAAAAATGATAGCGGTGGACCCAGACGCCCCAACTGAGGAGGAGCAGGCCCAGCAGGCAGTTCTCAAAACCAGATACATGCAGTGGAGAGAAACCCTCAGCTCAACAGCCACGCTGGGTTTTCGCATCGAGGGCATCAAGGTAGACATGATTCAAAAACCCTCTGAATTTACACAGAGATCTTTATCTAACACTGATTGGAAATGCTTACTAGTGTCTTATGCTATGTACTTTTGGCCTTCTATATAATGTCTTGACATATTTGATCTGTCTTCAGAAATCATGTGGCACTTGTAACACTAACTTCAAGAGAACAAAGTACAAAGATGAGGTCATCCAAGCCCTGGAAGACTTCGTGGACAACAACATGCTAATCCTGGTATGAATTAGTGTTAGAACTGGGCAATATTTACAGTATTTATCAAATATTTTATATTATTTATTAACTGATTGGTGTCTGTCAATATTGTTTATTTAGTTGTTTGTGCATTTACATTTAATCTTTAAAACTTTTAATCTACAGTTAATTTAAATATTTATTTACAGTTAATCTGAAAAACCACTAATAATTTCATATTAAGTGTAATATTTTTTACTTACAATTGGATTTTTTTCTGTACATTATAATTTTGTGATGCCTGAATTCACTTGCAGCTTTTAAAATGTTTGATGATTTTAGTTCTTTTGTTTAATGAATTTTAATATGGGCCATATTATTATTTATCAACCACAAAATGAAAATAATTAGCAGCTTGTTGTATGCAACAAAATATCAGCACAAATTTTGTTAGAACAGGGCAATATATAATATTTTTACAATATATTTATTATTATTCATTCAAATTAAAATGTGTATTTATTTAAAGTATTTATATATTGAAATTATAATTATTAATTATTATTATCATGAAGACAAACTATTTGTTTCTTTGGAATAACGTACAGATTTTTTTTTTCATGTTTAAAATGTTTGGTAAAATTGTGAGTAAATAAATGTAAATATATATTGTTATATTTGTGCATATAAATAAAAATGAAATATTATTGAATTAAGTATGAATGAAAAAAATTAAGTATTTTATTCTATTTTACATCATGCTTTTCAACATCTAGAATCTAGCTTTTAAAGGGGTCATATGATGTTGCTAAAAATAACAGTATTTGGTGTAATGAAATGTGTTTATGCGGTTTAAGGTTCAAGAAACGCATTATTTTCCACATCATGTACATTATTGTTGCTCCTCTATGCCCCGCCTTTCTGAAACGCGTCAATTTTTACAAAGAAATCGCATCATATGACCCCTTTAAGAAGGGCTACTTGATTGAAATAATGGCTCCTCTGCCTGTGCCTCTTTTAACCATTAATCCATTTAAAGGGGTCATATGATGCGATTTCAATTTTTCCTTTCTCTTTGGAGTGTTACAAGCTCTTGGTGCATAAACATATGACCCCTTTAACTATTATGTAAACAAGTTAATTATTTGGCTCTTCCTGTTCACGCAGAGAAGCTACCAACAGCGCCTGAAGGAACTACGAGCTGTGCTGGAAAAATCTGATTTCTTCAAAGCACATGAGGTGACATGCATCTTCATTTTCCAAATCCACTTTGTTCTTCATTCTGCACTGCTGATGTTCAAATACAGGCTCTAATAAGAAAGGCCTTGCTGTGTGGTTTCCTGCAGGTGGTGGGCAGCTCCTTATTATTTGTCCATGATCTGACTGGCAAGGCTGGAATCTGGATGATAGACTTTGGAAAGACTGTGCCTATGCCGCCCCTTCTAACCCTGGACCATCGCAGCCCGTGGGTGGAGGGCAACAGAGAGGACGGGTACCTCTGGGGCCTGGACAATTTTATTGACATTCTGACCAACATGCTTCCGGAGAAATGAAAGGCAATGTGGATCTTCAGAATTGTCATTTTCTGCACAGACTGTTTGATTTCCCTCTGTTTTTTTCTACAAGGAGAATAGATGAAGGTAGGAGAGAATGAACTGATGGAATGGACTGACTGGCCTCAACATTTACTACAAGTGCTACTGATGAACATCTAAGCCTGTGAACTTACCTGCTGAAGCCCCTCGCTATGTTGTTGTTTTCGCTACTTTTGAAAAGCTGTATGTATTTTACACTGTAAATAGATTTTTATTTAAGCAGTTTGCTCTTAGGGGTTGACGAGTAAAAGATTAGCAGATGAAAATCATTACAGTTGTGTTGTTTTGATATGTTAAAGATGCAAAAACAGCCATGCTTTTGAATACTAATGAAAATCAGGACCTTCGTAGTCTGTTTGTGATAGTTGCCAGATAGTTTTCCTGCATTTTACCTTATATTTGTGACCAAATGTCTCTTGGGGATGAACTGAATTGAAGTGCACACTATTAACAGTCCCATAAACTGAAGCTGAATCGAATCACAGAACAACAAAGACCTCTTACATCTTTCTTGGTACTGTTTTAATAACATTGCATAGCACCTGAAATAAGAAAAACGTGAAAAAGTGCTTTGTGTTCTGTTTTGATCAAGCACTACTTTAATTCACATCAAGCACATGTGTGGTTTTTGCATGCAAGCATGAGCTGCTAAACAGCCCCTGTTAATAGCAAATATACGACTGACTGCCAGTTTGACTGAGAATGGTGTGTGGGATATTTGAGCCAGTACTCCTTATGCACAAATTCACTGATTGCACTGTTAATTTGAAATCACCTTATTGAGGTTTTGTACTGTATAATAGTAAACGACTTGTGATAATTTTGTTGGGAGCTTTGTTGTCCTTACTCTAGTTTTGCAGTTCTGGTTTCTGGGTTCTGTGATGGTAACTACATAATCTATTTTTTTTTTTTTTTTTCATGCTGGGTAATTTTGTATGGTATTCAACTGTCAGCACAATAAACATGAATATGATGTGACTGTTTTTCCCCCTCTTCTTTCAAAACCATACAAAGGTATAAACAGGGCTCTATGCTCTTGTGCTTGTTTAGGAGCACTTGTGAAAAATTTAAGAGCACCTTATGATGATCAATGACAGACATTAAAGCAACTGTATGTTGTTTTGTGTATCAGAATGCTCTTTTAAATTTATATTTCAAGGTAAAAACTTACATACAGTTGTTTTAATTCTACCATTATGGTACTGTATTTGCACTTTTAATTGATTTCCAGGGTGTTATCTTTTAGCCTATGTGAAATTCTTAAATGTATACTTTTTTTTTATTTTTATCAGAATAGTAAGACACTGGCTGTTTAAAATCAAATGAAATGAGTATAAACAAAATCCATCTTTGCACTATGCTGCATCTGATATAGACAAGGTTTCCAACACTACTGTACATAATATTCAGTAGGAATTTTATTGAGAGCGATTCACAAATAAATTCGCAATTAAAGATAATGAAAAAAAATGGTGGGGGTGGGGTCCAAAACAGCACTGGCCTTTGACAAAATGCCTTTCTTCAAAATATCTTTGGTGTTCTGCAAAAGAAAGTAGGCTAATTCATATTAAGGATATAAACTGATCTGATTTTTTTTTTTTAAATAGTCCTATGGTTTAACTCCGTTTAACCCATATATATTTGAGTGATATATTTTGGCCTATAGTGACTAAATAGCCTGTATCTTGTGAAAGCAACATCCAAACTTCACAAAACTTGGTACACACAACCAACAGGACATTCTGAGGAAACATGCCCAGTTTCTAATAGTATGGAGGCTAAGAGCCATTTCTAAAATATCAGCCATTTATTTCAAATATGAATGACAGATGAAGGCCTGATTTCCTTTATGAATTAAATTTTGGAACTAGCATGTACTTTTGTAAGTTGTTTCATCAAAACTTACAATATCAGTAGAAAGTCATGATTCTTGACTTTTTTAATGTATTTTTTTATTATGAATTTCAGAGCCTACAACCCAAGACGCTGGGATAGACTCCAGGATCCCCTGCAACCCTACAAGCAGTTCGGAGAAGCTGGATTTCAGAATTTGTTAGTATTTGTATGTTGCCCTTTCGCTGCAATTAAAACATGCAGTTGATATTGAGCAGACATCATTAATTTATTTATAGATACATGTTTTCAGTAGGATTTTTAGCTAATATTCTGTAAGCCACATACAGAATGTTAATCTTTTATTTTCAGTTTATTGCAGTGCACATAACCGCATCATGTTGCCTGGAGCAAACAAGCACAGTACTAACAACAGCCAACAGACCAGACAACACAATCCCATCCTCTGTTCCATTCAGCTGCTGAAGAGCCCACTCAGCTCTTCCCCTGCTTTCTCTGCAAGCTCAGTTGAATTGGAGCAGTCTGTACCATCATTTGGTCCTCCAAATCCACAAACACATTTCAGATGACTTAAACACACCAGGAAGGAAAATTTTCATGTTATCATCTTGGCTGCTGCATATTGGTTTCATGAATCTTGGTTTCATGTATAAGGATATTCAGGAAAAACTTGGAATCCAGGAAAGATGGCTGCATTGTTCTGGGACTTGGATTCTGCTACAACTCCTCCACAGACACCAGCTCTACACTTCAGGCATACTAGCCCTGTGAGGTGAGATGTATTCTTTTACAATATTTGATAACCATTACACTTTGACCTGGTGAAAATGACCATCTTTTTTTAGTTTCTATGATCGTTCACATTGTAGTTCACCCGTGCAAGACAATTTAGACTGGCCTTCAAGTGAGCAAGTGGAGTTCACGAGATTAAACCCCTCCAGAACTAAAGACAAGACAGGTCTGATAGCAGGTTTTGCATGCTTTTGTTGACATATGTGTTTGTGATAGCATTCAGTCTGTAGTTCGTTTCACTTAGTGTAATTTGCCTCTGCAATTTCATCATACATTTCAGAAGGAGAATGGCATATGGTAACAGCCACACGCTCATTGCTTGGCCAGAGGGGCCAGAGGGAGGGTTTGCAGGACCAGTGGAGACTGTCTTACAATAGCTTGCCAAGAGTGAGATTGTATTTATTTATTTTTTTCGTTTTGTATACTCCATTCCTTTCTCATAATATCTATTTAAAAAGATAAGAGTCTAACGTCTACTGTACTCTTCTGTAGGTTAGAGCTTTATTAAGTGCTACTATTGGATCAGTCAAATTCACAAATGAATCATGCAATGCAATTTGTGAATTGGTACAATTGATTCACTGAAAATAAACATCTCCAAGAATAAGTCATTTATGAACTCTTGCCCAAAGGTTTGACCACCCCTCCACCCAGTTAAGCACAAACCCGTACCATAGCCAATTTCATTAGTCAAATCAATCATACTTTATTGATTCAGTTCGGAGTTTGGAAAAATCAAGGACTGATATTGTTGCAGCAATCACTAATGGTATCTACCAGGATTTGCTACCAGTGCTACACAATGCTAAAGTTAGGCACTGGTTAATATTTACCATTTGTTTCACCATTTTCTAGGCAATCAGCACTGTCATTGACATGATCAATTAAATAATTAGAAATGGCCACAGGGCAGAGTTTAGGACTTGAATTTCAAAATAAACAAGAAATTGTATGTTTTTCTGAAATGTTGTGTATTAAAAGTCATATGTGCATAGAAATGTAGTTACATTTTCCTAAAAATGAAAATGTGGTAAAGATAGCCTACTTGAAAAATGTACATGAAGTGAAAATACTTCGTTACTGCTTACCATTGCTTTTAGCTCTTGACAATTAAAGGAAACTGCATTTGAAAGATAAGTAACAATCGGTTAATTCAGGGCATTTAATCATGACAATTTATCATTCTTTTTGTTTCGTAGGCGCATTTTCTCCAGCCAAATAGAGAATCAAGTGCTTTTTCACCCTATGCTAATGACTTCTGCTTGAATGGTAGCGATGCCAAGAACATTGCTGAGTCCCCCAGGAACAGTCGTAAGCTGCACCCGCTGACACAGCCAGGCTTCTACAGTCCAAAAATCCCACGATCAAAACACTGTGAAGCTGCACAGTCCACAAAAACGTCTTTAAAAGGATCTTCTTCTACAAACAACTTGAAGGAGTTCTTTGCTCTCACGTTGCCTCTTGCTTGCTCCAAAACTGCTGTTCTCGAAACCAGGTGAGATGCATAAATCATGCCATAATGAACAGTATGTGCAATTTATGTTGAATTTCCATGATGGTCCACAATTACTTTTCAGCCAGGATTCAGGACTTGTAATATTATTGTGCCCCTCCTTCGTCTCCCACCCATGAGATCCCACGGGGAGGGGTGGGACAGTCAGTAAAAAGTGGGACATTCCCACCACATCGCATTAGAGTTCTCTGACCCTAAATTTAATCATTTTATTTATCACTGGAGTTCTGAGTCTGATTTGCTGTATTGCTGGAAATTACCAACATCACAAAGAGAAAAAGGACATTCAAAATGGAATGAAATTACTTTTATGATTTTAAAATGGGTCTGTCTTTATGCTTACATTGTATGTCCTTTTGCAACATATGGACTGCTTACCTTATTCTTTGTTTTTATGTGTCTACAATATGTGTGTGTCTATGGTCTTTGTGTTTTATTTCTGCCAGCCCTTTGTGTTCCAAACCACAAAAAGTTAAAACTTTTTTGGTGGAAAAGCCTCCTTTGATGAGAGCTGTGGTTTCTCAAACGTCACCGACCTCAAATCAACCCGACAAAGAGCACTTCAGCCAACTCCAGCCAAGAGAGGACCATCTCATCAAGAACCAGGACTGCAGTTTGTTCAGTCTGCAGGAACCCAATAGGAAACCTCTTAGAAATGACCAACCTACCTGGAGTCAGAGCCAGAATTTGTTTACTGAGGAAATTTCTACTAAGGATCATCTTTCTATTAACACACTACATCTGTTCCCTGAACGCCAGTCTAGAGCAGACCAGCCTGCAACGCTTTGTCCAAAATTGGAAAAGGCAAGTCATGAGATATTTACCTG